TTTATTTTGTGTGTATGAATGTATTGCCTGCATGTATGTGAGTGCACCCGTGTCGTGCAGCCCTCGGATGTCAGAAGAGGGCTTCGGATTCCCCTGGAACAGGAGTTAAGGACGGTTTGTAGCCACCATGTGGGTGCTGGGAATTGAACCCAGGTCCTCTGCGAGAGCAATCAATGCTCTTAATTGCTGAGCCATCTCTCCAGCCCCAAGACTGTTTTCTAAAAGTTAAGCACCTACACAATAAAAACATTTTAGAAATAAAAACATGGGTGTATTTTTTTTAATTCACTAATACTATTTTCTAGTATGCCTTTCTTACTACATACTTGTAAGGAGGTTTTCTTGTATCTTTACAACAAATGTTTATCACTTATGGTGTGTTGGGTGGTTTTTCTTGTAGAGATGTTTTGTATTTATATATTTTATGTAAAGAAAACTTTAAAGTAATACATAAATGAGTGTAATTACCATGGCATGCTTATAATCACAGCACTCAGGAGGCAGATGTAGAAGGAGCATGAGTTTTAGGCCAGCCTGGGCTACATTGGGAGTCCCAGACGAGACTCAGCTATGTAGGGAGACTCCTGTCTAAAAAAAGCAAAAGGCAGAATTTAGTAATGAGCCTCTTTGTGCTCATAGGACAGCTTCATTTATCAGCTGTTGACTTCTTTGTGACCTACCCACTTGCTTCTACCCCATGTACTATTTGAAAGAAAATCCTAAACATTATTTGATCTAGAAATATTTCAGTATATCTTTTTTTTAAATGTATTTATTATTTTTATTTTATGTGTATGAGTGTATTGCCTGCATGTGTGTAAGTGCACCCATATTGTGCAGTGCCCATGGAGGTCAGAAGAGGGTGTCAGATCCCCTGAAACTGTAGTTAAGGATGGTTGTTAGCCACTGTGTGTGTGCTGAGAATCAAACCCCAGTCTTCGGCAAGAGCAGCCAGTGCTCTTAACCCTGAGTCATCTCTACAGCCTCTCAGTATTTGTTTCTACAAGCCGAGGACTATGTTACTAAGTATAAGCACACTATTATTTCCATACCCAAACCCCAAAGTTAATATTTTTAAAATTTCTTTGTCTTTATTGTTGAAGTAAATGGAATTTTTTTACTTTTATTTTCTGAGGTTTTACATTTCTATCTTAAGTCAAGTTTGCTTGAGAAATCCCATTTCTTTGGCTAGCCTCTTTCCTGTGATTTGAAGGTAAAATTGATTATCAAAGGTCAGAAATAAAGGCTTCAGAACATGTTTTATTTTTGACCTATTACTTTCTTCAGTTTTGTGCTTGGTCTCTTCGTTCTTACATGAAAGACAACAGATTTAATGGCCATTAAGTCCTGTTTAAATTACTTCTATGAGTTGAGGGACATAAAATTACAGTGTAGCATTGGTATGTGGCTTTGTATTGCATTACATTGTTTTAAAGCTGTATCTGTAGACCTAGGCTTTCAAAATTATACCTTATCCTTTGAATTTTCTCTTCAGAGCCCATTCTTAGGGAAAGCAAGGGTGCTGTGTTGCACAGCTGTGGGAAGGACGCTTCGCTTTGTGCTTTGTGGTGCCATTGCCACATAATGCAGTGTGTCACCTCTTATTTTGTGTGATGTGGTTGCCCCATAGGCTGTCTGTCCAACCTTTGCATTGTTGCTGCCTCTGATTCTAAACACTATGGATGAATATTTAGAAAAAAATCTAGATACTTGCTCATACAGAGGTAAAAGAGTGTGGTATGTGTGCGTGTGTGTGCGTGTGCGTGCGTGCATGCGTGCGTGCGTGTGTGTGTGTGTGTTTTCATGATTAGTTAGGTCCTTTTTGGCCTGACTTAAAAATGTTCAGCTTTTGAGCCGGGTGTGGTGGCGCACGCCTATAGTCCCAGCACTTGGGAGGTAGAGGCAGGCGGATCTCTGTGAGTTCAAGACTAGCCTGGTCTACATAGTGACTCCAGGACAGCTGGGGCTACAGGGAGACCCTGTCTCAAAAAGAAAAAAAAAAAAGTTCAGCTTTTGAAGCACCTTTAAGATATTCCATGCTGCTGGGCATGGTGGTGCATGTTAGGCAGAGGCAGGTAGATCTCTGAGTTCAAGGCCAGCCTGGTCTACATAGTGAGTTCCTGGCCAACTGGGGCTTCAGGGAGACCCTGTCTCAAAAAGACCAAACCAAACCAAACAAAACAAAACAAAAAAACAATACTTGACAGTGGTAACATGGTGCATATTCTTACAGAGGGTACCACATCTTGTCAGTTACTTTTACTTTCGTATAAATGATTTTTAGATCCTTTTTGAAGAGCAGAGGTAGTAGTGAGGGATAGGAAGATAAGGCTTCAGGGAACTAGCTGGCAGGTAGGTACTCTGCCACTGAACCACATCCCCAACCCTAGACAGTGTACTTTGTTCACACATGAAAATGCATATAGTGATTATGCTTGCAGTGACTGTGGGATAACAGTGTATTAGCCAAAACACTTGTGTGTTTTGCTGGAAGTGTCTTAAGCAGTTTAGGAAACAGTGTATGTGTTCCAGCTTTATGTTGTAGATTATGACAGTTTGCCACTTTTGACAATGTTGAAACTGATGAGCAGGCCAAAACATTCTTATTTTAGTTAGCTTCTGGGCATATCTAAAAAAAGTAACTCTATGATAGAAGTCACTTTATACCTTAAATTAAAAAAAATA